TCCTCAGTACTTATTGATTCCAAAAATCCGGACTCCATGGAGCTGGGGCAGCTTGGGGATGAGCACGCTCATCAAAGACACAGTGTTCAGGATGAAATGGATCTGGTCGTACTTGGTATAGAAGCTGGTGAGAAAGTACCTGGTGGAAAAGGTTAAGGAGAGTATAAGACTTTGCTTGGAGGACCCCTTCCTCCCTCACTCCCTGGGTGGGGAGAGGCAAATTCCTGACAGCTCAGATGTTATGGGAAAGGCCCTCAGGACAGAAGTAAGATGGCAAGATCTCCCCAAATAAAGACACCCCTCCCAAATCAGTCCCCTCACTTTACCCCAGGCCTGTGGGCCTACCTCACTGGCAGGAAGGAAACCTCAATTGAAAAAAGGGTCAGGGAGGCACAAGGCCTGAGCCCAGCATATGGCCATGGATGCTCTGACTTACCTTCCTCATTCCTACGCTAAGAGTCAAACCGGGGAGGGGTTTAGACCTGGTGGGGCCCCAGGGTCCCCCGGGGCCTTGGCCTGCCTACTAGCATCCTCCTCTACCCAGGGCACTCACAGCACAATGGGTGTGATGGTCAAGAACTTCCGAGACGCTGTGAACTGAACCCCATAGTCCATCTGCTCCCAGTGGGTTAGCAATCTTGCCTTGCCCTGGTCCGGGGTCTCGAAGGGTGTCCCCTTCACCGTGTGCAGAAAGATGTACATGCCCTGGAGGGAGGGGCTTTCATTAGAGGACACAAAAGGCAAAAGGCCCGCCAGCTCAGCTCCTCCACCCAAGTCACAGAAGTGGGCTCTGGGTGACCCGAGCCTCCCTCTGGCGGGCAGGGGCATGTGGGCTGGAAGTCAGGATGAAGCAGCTGGGAGTCTGTCAGGAGAATAAGGGTGAGAGGGCAGGCCTGACATGAGGAGACACATGGAAGGGGGTCGCTCCCTGCGCCAGCCGGGAGGGACAAGCTGATGGGAAGGAACTAGGCCCCTGCCTCGCCACGAAAAGAGTAAAAGGTAGCAAGCAAGTGGCGAGGGAGCAGAGAGAGGCAAGAGGCAAGATGGTGTGAGATCCTAATTTGGGAAAGGGGCATTTCTGCTCCAGGCTGGGCACCTGGGTCCCAGGGACTCTTTGGGACCCATAGTTCAGCTCTCGATGGCCCATCTTCCAGGTCCACTAGCGATCCCATCCTGGAGATGGGACAAATCTGCAGATTTTAGTCCTCCTGTTGGAGTGCACAGGGCTGGAACCCAGACAGGGGAGTGGGTCAGAGATGAGAGCTTGGTCTGGACTGTGGTGACAGATGTTATCAGATGTCACCCTGACTTCTGGCCCAGGTCTGGGGGCCCCTTGTACTCCTCAGTCCCACCAAAGAGCAGCTCACACGGTCAGGGTGGGCAGCAGGCAGGCCCTCACCATGTTGTGGATGAGGTTGGTGAGGGTCCAGACGACAGGGACGCTCACGAAGGGGATGCTGAGCAGCACGACGTGGAGAAGGCCGATGGCCAGCACGTAGGAGAGCCAGATGCCGCGGCTGTTCATCACCCGTGTGTTAGGGTTCACCTCGCTGTGTGCCGTGCCCACGTTCATCCTGCTGCCCCCTCCTGCCGCTGCTCTGCAAACAAGCAGCACAGGTGAGACAGGTCACACCACTTTCTCTGCCCCCTCACACCCTCCAAATCTGCTCTCCCCAAGAATTCCAGGCAGTTCTACTGTTTTGACTCATAAACAAGGAGGCCAGAGAAAGTCCACGTGGACTTAACTCTATATCAGCCGTGGGCAAACTACAGCCCGCGGACTGGATCCGGCCCGTTTGAAATGAATATAACTAAAAAAAAAAAAAAAGACCATACCCTTTTATGTAATGATGTTTACTTTGAATTTACATTAGTTCACACAAACACTCCATCCATGCTTTTGTTCCGGCCCTCCGGTCCAGTTTAAGAACCCATTGTGGCCCTGGAGTCAAAAAGTTTGCCCACCCCTGCTCTATACATTTCCCAGATGCTAGGATGGGATAAGTACCATCCATCATCCATCAGGACAGTCAGTCCCCTTCCAGGCGGACTGCCTGGATGGACAGGTCAGGAAGCATCCAGTCCCACAGCAAGAAACCACTGCCCCTCCCCCAGTCTCATCCTCCAGAGCATTCTCACCAGGGCCCTCTTCCCACAACGCCTGTACCCTAAGAATCATTCAGCATAAACCCTGCTGGGCTCTCACTGAGGGCTGATATGGGACATCTACCCCTTTCCCACCTTCCTCATCAGATTGAATAAAAAAAGATCTCCTCTCTGCCTGCAAGGAGATCACTGGACGACATATTTGGGGAGGGGGGTCATTGCTTCTACCCATCGCCCCTAATTCTCCAGTACTGGGTCTACAATCCAGACCCAGGAGACCTGACAGGATAAAAAGGCGATGGGAGAGAAAAAAGGAGAAAACGACAGACTAGGGACAACCTTTGCCCAGACCTGGAAGCCTCCTTCTTGGTGACACAAAACAACCCAATCAGATGTTTTCTCCATTTGGCAGCAACTCAGGCTAGCCCTCGTGATGCCACCCCCTCTGCTGCCAAACCACCAGGGCCCTTTTCCCCACCAGAGAGGCGAGGACAGAGAACACAGCCAACATCTCCAGCCCCACAGTAGCTGGGATCCAGATCAACATACCCCTCCCAATGTCACAAAATCATACCTGCGGCCTCTCTCCTGCCCCCTCTCCTCTCACCCCTCCCATCCTCACTTCAGCTTCTGTTCCCAGCACCTATTCAGGTGTTAGCAGCACCGGGCCTCTCCTTGCCCCGCTCTGATGGCAGAAGCATGCAGCACGAGGAACCAGGAGGACTGCCCTTGGTGTCCAGGTAACAATGCACCTCGGCTGCATTCCTAGATGCAGGTAAGGAAGGGAATGAGCAGTCCCTTGTCCAGAGCTCTGCTGTCCCCAGATCCCAGAGGGCCCTGTGACCAGCAGGAGGTGGGAACAGATGGTGCCTTTGTACTGGCTCACCTCCTGAGCTGAGGGAAGGCCCTGCCTGATAAAGACCCTAAGGTCATCACCATGGTTACAGCCCCATCTTTCCTGGGGGCACAGAAAGGGGTCCCAGGTGGGGGCATCCTAGAAGTGCCCAGAAGGCCACATCCTAACCCTGCTGCAACGAACCCCCTCAGACTCAGTTGCAATCTCTCTCTGACTGGATCACGGCCAAGCCTGTATAGTCGCCAGAATTCTCAAGGATCGGTTCCTCAGTTCCAGGATAACGGGAACAAGTTTCCTCTTCTCAGACAGCTCACAGTTCAGAGACCTCAGGGGAAACGTGACACACAACACACTTCTCCAATATGCAAACAGACGTGAGATGACCCAGGGTGCATCCTAGAAGATGGATGCTCCTGGGGCCCATCGCCTCAGCATTAGGCTGGCTAATTGGGCCCAACAGAAGCCCAGGGAACTAGAAAACCTGGACGGGCTCAGTTGTTTACCTTCCCAGGGGCTTGGGGCTTCAGTCACCCTAACACAGCTCCTGGGAACCAACTATGCAAAAGCCTCCACCTTGGGGGGTAGGTAGAGAGAGATCGGGGCTGGCTAGGAAGTGAGGGCTCTGAAGGGCTTACCACTGACTAAGGAAAGAGAAACAGTTCCCAAGTCTACCACTCCGCCCTCACCTAGACCTCCAAGGTGTAGAAGTAGAGCCCCCTAGCCCTTCCTGGTATTTTGTCCAGGAGTGCCAAGATCATTCTGAATCCCAGATCATTCTACACGCCTTTTCTGGCTGAAACCGGGCATCCCATGAAGCCTGATGAGTTCAGGAGGGGCCTGCACTCAGGGCCTAACGGACACTCTGGAAAGCTTCTTCCTGAACCTGAACACTATGTGCCCTGAGAGCAGGAATCCCAGGAGATCCACAACCTCCAAAAATGACAGCCCAGATCAATAAACTAAGAAAGCGATTGGCAGCCAGGAAGCACTCTGGAGCCTTGTGTGTGACTAAGGGTACATTTCACTTCCGTTTGTAAAATAACCAGTTGCCCCCAGCCCAGGAGGAGAGCTGCGGGCAGAAGCAGCTGGCAGAGGTAAAGCACGTCTACAGCAGCGGAGGCTGAAAAGTTCCGAGGCCAGAGCTGGCAGGTGGCCGCCTGTGCCAGCCCCTGAAGTGGTTTCATAACCTGCCTCAAACCAGAGCCTCCAGCAACTCCGTTCTGTTAACTACTTTCCTGCTGGTAGCTCTTTCCGACTACTTCCCTCCCCTCCCCCGGACTCCACACACAAATATGCCTGCCCGGCGTGTCTGTCAAACACCTAAGCCAAGACCACAGCGTGTCCCAGGGCAGCTGCCAGGTGAGCCATTCCCATTCTCTCCCACAAGTGGGGCAGCCCTTTAAGCAACGAACCTTTTCCCTTCTGGGGGAGGAGCGCAAAACGTCTAAGCCTGCAAATGGACCCCGACGGGGAGTCCCTGGCAGCACGCCACAATGCCGCGTTCACTCTGCCACCCCTCCGCACGGGGGCTTGCTTACCTCTTAGCTCGGGCCCTGCTTCCCGGGCTGCGGTGGGCGGTGGGCACGGAAAGAAGGCGAATCCTAGGGCGAACCCCTGCTCTCCCGGGGACAAGGTGAAGCAAGAGGCGGGGTCCTCACTATTGTTTGGGTTTTCTGAGTGGGACCTCAAACCGAACGGGGGACCTCCCGCTCCGCTCCCCGGCCTGGGACCTCGCACTCGGAGCCTGGCTGGGTCCGGAGCCTCACCCCCACCTCCGCGCGTCCACCCAGCCCTGGAAGCGGCCAAACCTTCATCCCCGAAGCCCAGCCGCTCCGGGCCCCTCACCCCGAGCCGGAGCTCGAGCGCTCCTCCCGACGCTCCACCCTCGGCCCCCGCCCCCACTTTCGCCTTTGGGTATCCCTAGGGCTGATGCACGCCCCCACCTCCGCTCGCCCGGCCCCGGTCCCCTCCAGCTCGGGGCGCCTCCCCTGCAGCTCCCACCTCCTTTCCCGCCCCACCTCTAGCGCCAGGAGCCTCCGGGTTCGGCCACCCGCAGGCCGCCCATTCGGACTCACCGTGCGGAGCCGGGGGTCCAGGGCCCTCGAGGGCCCGCGAGAGGTGCCCGGGGGCGGGGGCCGCTGCTTTACTAACAACCCGCGGCGGTAGCCACCCCGCTGGCCCTTCGGCCGAATCAGCGCCCCGCGCCGGCCCTCGCGGCGTCACCGCCCAGCGCCGACTTCCCGATGCCTCCTGGGAGTTGTAGTTTCTTCCCCTGCCCTAGTACCGGCCCTCCCGACGCCACCTGGGACTTGTAGTCCCCCTCCCGGCGTCCACCTTCTCCAGGAGCGGCCTCGCTGGGCCCCTCGGACGTTTCCATAGGACGTGATACAAAGATCAGATGGTATTGCTTTGGGGCATAATAACTGCTTTTGCGTCCGCGCCCGCTTCAAGTGCAGTTTACACATCCCCCATTTTGCAGATAAGGAAACTCGGAGTTTTAAGTGACTTGCCATAGGTCCCTGCTGGGTCCCAACCGGGACCAGAGCCCAGAATTTGATCTCAGGTCAGAGTTTTTTCAATAACACCTCGCTGCCTCCACCCTGGCCCCAGAGTGGCTCCTCCAGAATCGGACCAGCCCAGCCCTTTGTCCTGCTCGGCCTTCCTGGAAGCGGGCTTAGAATGAGAGTGTGGAGAGCAGAGAACGCGGCCTGTGGGCAGCATTTGTCCAGAGCCTGACTGCTCAGTTACAGGTGGCTCAGGCCAGGCCACATCCTTGACCTCCCTCATTCCACGTCAGAAGAGGATGCCTGTCTTGGGAAGATTCCTTGAAGAATAGTTAGGGCCCTTCATTCCAGTCCCAGGTGGGCACGTGTGGCTTTGGGTGGCAGGCGCCACCTCTCTGGCCCGCGGTGTTCACATCCGCTTGCAAGGGCACAGCTTTTACTGCCATGTAGACTTAGCAGGCACCCCTTTCTAGCAAATAACTTGTCTGAGTCTCTAACTCCACACTTGTGAAACCCTCCCTCCAAGGTTGTGCAAATTCAAAAGAATGTATGCAAAGCATCTGTTGCATTGTAGAAAGCTATTTCTGTAGGAGGTTGAACTAAATGGCTCTTGAGGTCTCCTGAGTCACCAAGAGGGCCTTGTTTGAGTCATTTCCACTAGCCCTGCCCAGCTTCTTTCTAAGTCCACTGTGCATGGCAGGCTGGAATAGCAGGATCAGATGACGTCATGACATGCCAGCCTGACTGGCTGTGAACACACACTGAGGTGAATGTGAGGGGACAGAAGGAGAAGGCTGGCCCAGGCAGTCTGGGGAGTAGTCCCTTTCAGACCTCACCCAGCCCTCTCCAGAGGGCTGCCAGGAAACGGATGTCACAAACCTGGAGTGGGGCCCCGGGAGCACCTAGTGGGCACTGAGCTGGTGGCTAGCTGAGTCACTCGGAGCAGGAGAACAGGCAGCTTCTCAAGTATTTCCAGGGCCAGTGGCCCAAGAGCACTCCTCCCAAGGCTAAATAATCACCCCAGAGACTGAAAAAGTTCTTCCTTGTGTCCTACAGAAGTTTCTCCTGGTTCATGGAGGCCCCTTTCCTTATAGTCAGCCCTCTGAAGACATAAGCAAACAACTGAGTGTTGCTTTTCCCACAGAAACCTCCAAAACATTGAGGAGATTATATATATATATAATTTTTTTCCCCAAAGTGGAGCCTACTTGAGTACTTTGACTTCTCTCTGGGGTTCTTCCAACCTCCATCAAGTTGATGGAGCTGTCTGGGTCTTTCTCAGTGAAGTTCACTGACCTAGACTGGACCCACATCTCAAGTAAGGTTCTGACTAATGCATAGTCTAACGGAAAGATAACTGGACGCGCCATGCCCTATTAATAACTCCTATTATCAAGGTTTTCTTCACAATGGAAATAAATAGAGCTCTGACTCACTCTAGGTTTGTGGTAAATTGTGCATCACTTTCTGGTTAATGTGGCCTGAGTCGCTGTCATCATCCTTCTCCTTCTGCAGTTCTCTGCCCTCATAATTACCGTGTCTTCCCCAAACATCCTTGAGCGATGAATAGGCCGGAGTACTGTTCAGGATGAGTGACAGCACTCTCATGTGGTGCTTGGGAATGCACAACCCCTTGGACAGACGATTGGTAATACGGGCCAAGAGCCTGAAAAATCGTTCAGGCCTCAGAATCGTGATTGCACTGCTGGTAGCATCCCATGTACTTACTATATGTGAGGGGGTTCATTCCAGCATTATTTATGTTATTGATTGATTTTTAGAGAAAAAGAGGAAGGAAAAGGGAGAAAAGGAGAGAGAGTGAGACAGATCAATTTGTTGTTCTACTTATTTATACGGTCATTGGTTGATTCTTATATGTGCTCTGACTAGGGATTGAACCCACAACCTTGGCATATTCAGACAATGCTCTAACCAACTGAACTCCCCTGCCCTCCAGCATTATGTATAATAGTGGAAAACCAAAAGCAACCTAAATGCCCAAGAAAAATACTATAGTATATCCATTGGATGGAATAGTATGAAGCCATATAGTAAGTGGTTGTGGAAACGATGTGGCAGTGTGGGAAAATGCTAGGTTATATGAAAAGATCGGGGGGAAAAAATAGCATGAGCATTCCCCAGGGCTGTAGTCAGCAAAATCTAGAAAAAGAAAGACTTGGGAAAACACCCAATTCCCTTAACAAATAAGTTGGAAGAAAAAAAAGGGGAGGGAGAGACTTAGATAAAAAAAAATTAAGCAATATATTTGGATCCTGATTTAAGCAAACTAACATTATTTTTTAAAAAATTAAATTAACAGGGAACTTTGAACAATTGATATTACGGAATTAAAATTTTTTTAATTTATTGTTGACAGTATTATAGATGTCTCCCATTTTGCCCCCTTTTGCCCCTCTCCACCTGACCCTCACCTCAGGCCTTCACCATACTATTGTCTGATATGGGCATGATATGGTATTGTGGTAATTTTTTAAATAAAAAATTCCCCTTATCCTCAGGAGATATATATAAAATATATGTGGATGAAATGATATGATGACTGAAATTGCTTCAAAATACTCTGGGCTAAGGATGTGGAGGAATAAAAGAAACAAGATGGGCCATGAGGTGATTCTGATAAAAACTGGATGATGGGGATATGAGATTGCTTATATCATTTTACCTACTTTTTTATGTTTGAAATTGACCATAATAAGTCTTAGTAAGCCTGCCCATGCATTAACAACTGTGATTTTAAAAAATAAAGTGTTTGGTGAGATCCTGACACCAGACTGCCTGAGTTCAACTTCCAGCTCCTATAGTTACCAGCTGTGTGCCCTTAGGCAGGTCACCGAGCCTCTCTGTGCTTCAGTTACCTCATTTCCAAATGGACATGGTGGCAATCATGATATTGTCAACCTCATGTTGTTGTGAAGATGAAATGGGTCAACAACTGTAAGCGCCCAGAACAATTCCTGGCGCAGAGTAAGTGCTCTGTGTGTGTTGCCTCGTATTAACCCATTCCACATTTAAATGATATTTGAGCATCTGCTTTACTGGCCTGTGGAAATTGAATAAAATAAACACAGATCTTGTGTTAGGATGGAGAGATTTGGGGTGATCTTTTTCATTCTCTAGTTTCAAACTTTGTGTAATGTGAGATTGTCAGCTTTAAATTTTTTATGGAATGTATTTGTGTTTTGAAAACAGAGCGAGCTGCCTTCACGGCTCCCCTTGTCCTCTGCAAGGGCCTCAGGCCGCTGAGGCAGCTGCATTTCCCAGCCTTGGGGTGTTTCCATCTGGCGGGGTGGCATGGCCTCTGCTTGCCATAGATACACCCATGTGGGCAGAGATAGCAAACATGGGCGGGAGATCAACTGGGAACACATTCCAGGGTGATGGCAGTGGTGGGAAGTGAGGAGGTGGGGTGTAAGAAACAGAGCTCTTTTCCCCCCACACACACACCTCTGGGGGAAAGAATGGTACCCCTCCACTCTTACTACCCCCTACACCCCTTCAATTCATTTCTGCTCCCCCTCTGCTCCCTGCCTTCCTTGCAAATGCAGGGAAGAAAAAAACTTTATTTTGTTGGAAGTTGTGTTTTTGTTTGGGTGGGGGCACCCCAGTCACGTGGTGGCAGAGGGGAAAAGGGGGGACATGATGCTACGCAGATAAGCACTGAGTGAGAGCTACTGAGCTGGTGGGAAATGGGGGAGGTGCAGGGATGGTACCATTGCCAGTGGGCACTCCATCTCCTCCCTTCGCCCAGCCCTGTGGTTGGCTATTTTGGGCTACAGAGGAAAGGGGCTGAGCCAGACAGGGCCTCCAGGGCCAGAACCAAGGCCTGGGAACCAGAACCTCCTTCTGGAACCAAGAGCAGGGATGTTCCTAATGACCCCTTCAATCTGCATTTTCTTTGACGTGGGTAATTGATATTTTCTCCTTTGGGGGCAAAAACAGTTTAGAAAACTTAATAGTACAGAGCAGAAGGGCAATACCTATGAAAACAGTAGCTTTCAGAAAGGATTCCCCTGGTGCCCTTCCAATGGCATTACTACCCAGCCCTTCTTCCCCTGCTGGATGCCAACTCCTTTCCGTAGCCATGGCAGCTCATGTCACTAGCACTCGCTGTGTTCCAGGTACTGCGCAAAAGGCTTTACATGTGCAACCTTTAAAACAGCCCTGGGACGTAGGTATTTTTACTATCCCCACTTTACAAATGAGAAAACTGCAGTACAGAGAGTTGAAATATTTTGCCCAAGGTCACACAGCTGGGAAGTGGCATTTCTTCCAAAAGGTCATGCCTTGTTTCCACAGGTGCCTTGTAAAGACTTC